TAATTAATTATATTTCCAAGATCAAATTTATTAAAAGGATATGATGATTTAAAAGTCAATATTATGGATGTTATTTAGAAATAAGAATTTCAATCTTTTTTAAAAGATAAATACTTCGAGATTTTTTGGTATACATCAACTAATAAAGGAAGTTAAAGAAATAGCACTTTTAGAAGTGGCATCTTAGCTATGCTCAATTATCAATATGAATATGTTAGCATATACTATAAAAACTTTGGTAATAGATAGTGCTTATTAATATTATACATATAAAAATTATATACCTTTATTTAACATGCTTACTTAATTTAATTCAGATGTCTTAATTTTACTATTTATGATGATATCAAATTAATAGAGTTAACTTCAACTTTTAAATATTATTTTTAATATATCATTAGCACTCTTTACTATTTTACATGTATATTGTCTAATTAAACAACGCAAACTAAAAAACAAATTTTTGAGCCTGCTATGTTAATAAGATAAAGATATCATGGTCGAAGAAAGTCATAGATTGTCATTTTTGTCAACTAAAATTAACTCAAATTCTAATAATTTATACTAATATGTCTTGGACATTTAAAACTTAGATGATATTTTAAAAAGCGTTAAAAAGACTATTATACTTTAGTGAATAACAAAGGTAAGAGAATAAATACTTAAGGAAGAAATAAAAAATTGAAACTCATTAATTTTATCTAACTTGGAATTGCCTTTGCCAATTTATTTTTCTTATTAATGATCAATATCCTTACAATTGATTCACTACAAAAGTATTTACATAAATAAAAAAATACGGGATAAATGTATTCATCACTTTCAAATTCAGGAGTTGATGTACTTATTATCTATGCTTAAAGAGAAGTTTTATATAGAATTAAATCTTTTTAGTTTTTGTCTACTTAAGATATTTAGGATATTTATGATTAAATTGATACAAGTCTTAATTAAATTAGAGATTTTACACAATAGTTTATTTATGTTAACTCGCAGGATTATTTGTTAGATGAAAATTCAATAAAACTATTTCATGATTCAAGCATTTAATCAATATGTAATTTCTTACCTAAGGTATTATTTTAATCTATAAATTTTAGAAATATGTTAATGTTTCACGAATCATTTGTCCATAAGTATTAAATGGAGTGTTAAATAAAGGATTGATATCAACTTTGAATATGATGCAAACTTCCATTTCTACTGAAAGATAATTTAATAATTTCACATCTAGATCAATTGATCAAATACCTATAAAAGAATTAGAAGGAGCAACACTTACAGCTTGGGTCATCTAAGAGCTAAAAGATAATCTTGAACAAAATTTAAAGAATTATTCAATATAACTTTAATTATCATATTAAGTAATCATTTATTTACTAAATATTTTTAGTGTATTTATGGATTTGCTATTTCGTTCTTAATTGATTTTTTGTTTCTTTTAGTCTTCTTGAATAGTAAATATGAAATTGAATAAATAAGATTACTCAAAAGGATTGTTTATATAATGCCTTAAACTATTTTGCTTTTTGACGATACATTTTAAAGACAAGTAAAAGCCATCAAAAAATAAGAAGAATCATAATGAAATTACATATAAAATTTACAAAAAAAGATTATTATTTTATTTATGATTGCTTTCCAATTATGATAATAATTTACATTATTTAGTTAAACTTTTTTTCATAAATGTTACATTTTATTTTATCTTAAATTTGTTACTTGTATTCTTAAATCTCATTTAAGGTTTTTGAGTCCATAACAATTTACCTAATTTCAATGTACAGATATACTTATTTTAAATAGACTAAAACACAGAAATTACTTTTCAAATCATCTTTATAACCTATAGTTATTTACCTTTCTGAGGTGCTGCTAGAAAAGTTTTATCAACCAAAAAATTCTTTTTTTAGAAATTTTAAAAACTAAGACAAGCCAAAATCAATAAGTTAAAAACTCCAGGTTCTAGAAGTATATCCTCTGAATTTATTTGCATTTCATGATATCATAATATTTTCTGGTTTATTATCTAGAGATTACCAAATCTCATAGGTGAATTCATAAGAATGCGAAATTGCTTGAACAAAATTTTATTTAAGTCAAAATTTAATGCAGCTAAGAAATATCTTAAAATTTTATTTTAATGAAATCAATAAAAAGTTTTCTACAGATGTGTCATAATTTATTAATTAAATAGATTTCAAAAATATCAATGTTTTAGGAATTAAGAATTTGCTATATGGATATCATAATATGTAATAATAGATATTTTAATATCATCATAGTTAATATTATATATTAAACACAAATATATATATTAGAGTTTTATTGTAAATTGATCAATAACATACAAAGCAACTAAATAAAGTTACAGAATATTGAATTTGAGGATAACAATTAAATAGATGAGTACTTCTAATGTGTTTTTGTTTTATATAAATTAATAATCCATCTCAATCAGAAATTTAGTAAATTAAATAGTATAAGTATAAAAATGTAATCTGATTACAAACAATTTTTTAACGATTTTTTATTCCAGATAATTCTCATCAACCTTAAGTTGCAAGTTGTTAATTGAAACATTTAGGATCTTATCTAATTGCTGTTAAGTTTTTAGTAATTTAGATACAAATGGATTCATAACAAAGAAGGAGATGTATTCACTTTATCCCAATATATTAATTGTATTAGTGAAGAAGACTACGTTGTGTTAAACACAAGTCAAAGTGAAGTGTAAAACAATTTGACATTTTCTTGGAATTATTAAATGAATTCGTGACTTTAGGCTTAATTATTTTTGAAGGATAGACCTAGCAAGATTATGTAAATTATTCTTTCGGGTAATCAATTCTTAGGTTAAATTATACCTCTAGTTAAGCAGCAAGTTAGAGTAAATTTTGTAATATTTCTACTATTAATTAAAAAATAGTAGTTGAATAGTTAATATTTACTGTAGAATGGGAATTTAAGGATCAGAATAGTGAACCAATACATGCATATACGGATTTTATTAATGCTATCAATAAGTTCATTATTATTGTAAACCTGATTTAAATAATGTACTAATTAAAGTGATTTTTCAGGCAGTGAAGCTACTAGAGGCTGCTCAGATAATTAGTCTTAAGTTTTCTATACAAATTCTTGTAATTATTTTGGTATGAGTAAATTAGAAGATAATCGTTATGCATGTTCAAGTTTTTCTTTAGATGGCAATTAATGCATAAATCAATAATTCTGTTTGGAGTGTAAAGTGAGTGTTTTTGAAGTTTTAATAAATAATGAATGTTTTCTTTAAGATAACTACTTTGATGATTTCTCAGTGTGAAAAAAATGCAGACATAATTGTAAAAAATGCTTAAGTGAATAAGATTATAGTGAATGTTTTGAAGGGTGAAGCACTTGAAGATTTATTAGATTCTTAATTTTATTATTCTAGCCGTCTATAAAAGATATAAAGTTGCCCTAATGTATTAAATAATTGTAATCCTTTTTAATCAAATGTTGATAATTGTAAGTGTGCAGATTCAATAATATACAACACTGTAGATTGTGATTATTGTAATGAAATATTGGATGATAGGCTTAATAATGATTGCAACATTTAATGTTAATAGTAATGTACAAAGTGTATAAATGGTAAATGTATTGAATGTGCGACGGGGCTACTATTTGGATATCATTACATAAACTTGTAAAGACTATCGTTACTATACGATGGAACTAAAATAGTTAATCAAAAATGTGATGATGGTATTGATATTGTATTATTAAATAATTTTTAAAATGATTATATAAATTCAATCCGATTGTTATGGTTGTAATTTTTTTTGAGATCAGATTGTTAATAATTCAATTTTAACAAGGGTACCTGCTCAATTTACAAAGAAAAGTTAATTATTCAGAAAAATGATTGTCAAAATAAAGTGTAAAAAAAAATAATAAAAATTATGTTAGAAAAAAATTAACCAACTTTTTTCATCAATGTTATTTGAAGCCTTTTAGATTGNCAATTAAATAGATGAGATGAGTACTTCTAATGTGTTTTTGTTTTATATAAATTAATAATCCATCTCAATCAGAAATTTAGTAAATTAAATAGTATAAGTATAAAAATGTAATCTGATTACAAACAATTTTTTAACGATTTTTTATTCCAGATAATTCTCATCAACCTTAAGTTGCAAGTTGTTAATTGAAACATTTAGGATCTTATCTAATTGCTGTTAAGTTTTTAGTAATTTAGATACAAATGGATTCATAACAAAGAAGGAGATGTATTCACTTTATCCCAATATATTAATTGTATTAGTGAAGAAGACTACGTTGTGTTAAACACAAGTCAAAGTGAAGTGTAAAACAATTTGACATTTTCTTGGAATTATTAAATGAATTCGTGACTTTAGGCTTAATTATTTTTGAAGGATAGACCTAGCAAGATTATGTAAATTATTCTTTCGGGTAATCAATTCTTAGGTTAAATTATACCTCTAGTTAAGCAGCAAGTTAGAGTAAATTTTGTAATATTTCTACTATTAATTAAAAAATAGTAGTTGAATAGTTAATATTTACTGTAGAATGGGAATTTAAGGATCAGAATAGTGAACCAATACATGCATATACGGATTTTATTAATGCTATCAATAAGTTCATTATTATTGTAAACCTGATTTAAATAATGTACTAATTAAAGTGATTTTTCAGGCAGTGAAGCTACTAGAGGCTGCTCAGATAATTAGTCTTAAGTTTTCTATACAAATTCTTGTAATTATTTTGGTATGAGTAAATTAGAAGATAATCGTTATGCATGTTCAAGTTTTTCTTTAGATGGCAATTAATGCATAAATCAATAATTCTGTTTGGAGTGTAAAGTGAGTGTTTTTGAAGTTTTAATAAATAATGAATGTTTTCTTTAAGATAACTACTTTGATGATTTCTCAGTGTGAAAAAAATGCAGACATAATTGTAAAAAATGCTTAAGTGAATAAGATTATAGTGAATGTTTTGAAGGGTGAAGCACTTGAAGATTTATTAGATTCTTAATTTTATTATTCTAGCCGTCTATAAAAGATATAAAGTTGCCCTAATGTATTAAATAATTGTAATCCTTTTTAATCAAATGTTGATAATTGTAAGTGTGCAGATTCAATAATATACAACACTGTAGATTGTGATTATTGTAATGAAATATTGTATGATAGGCTTAATAATGATTGCAACATTTAATGTTAATAGTAATGTACAAAGTGTATAAATGGTAAATGTATTGAATGTGCGACGGGGCTACTATTTGGATATCATTACATAAACTTGTAAAGACTATCGTTACTATACGATGGAACTAAAATAGTTAATCAAAAATGTGATGATGGTATTGATATTGTATTATTAAATAATTTTTAAAATGATTATATAAATTCAATCCGATTGTTATGGTTGTAATTTTTTTTGAGATCAGATTGTTAATAATTCAATTTTAACAAGGGTACCTGCTCAATTTACAAAGAAAAGTTAATTATTCAGAAAAATGATTGTCAAAATAAAGTGTAAAAAAAAATAATAAAAATTATGTTAGAAAAAAATTAACCAACTTTTTTCATCAATGTTATTTGAAGCCTTTTAGATTGCCAAAATTAATTAAAAGAAGCTTTTTTAGGGGGCACGTTGCATCAGATAACGAAGTGATTATTTGAAAGACTCAAATAATTATTGCTCAACTAGAAGTTTATAGCTTAATAAATTTTGAAATAAATTATAAAAATATCCATAAATTTTATATTTTCACTACATCAAACCATAAAAATATTGTTTACATTCAATATGATTGGAGGCTTAAGCTTTTATCTTTCCTTGATGTAATTTTTAATTTTCTCATAAAATAAAACTCCAGCTTTTAGGATCGGACCAAATAAAGCTAACACTAAAAGGCCAATCTAAATAAATGCAACTAAAGTTCTTTGATTCTGATTTAGCAATTATTTAAACTCAGTGCAATAAATCAAGCTGATTAATGTAAATAACATTACTGGAGCTTCCATCCAAACTATCACTAATAGATCAAGATTTGAAGATGTAAATTTTATCATATTTAACAAAAATATATAGCTGAACAAGATAAGAGTGAGTACTATGCATTGATAAATTTATTCTTTTTGCATTCCAATCAAAATTATTATAAACGTCAATTTTTTCATTAAGATGACTCCTTCATGTTATTCCATTCTTAGATTTTACAACACAATCTTTTAATTCTACCTTTTAAAATGTTAACAAAAAAAAAAACAAATTAATCCCAAATAACCTATGCTGACACAATTAGACACCAAATATCTTAGTCCTGTTTAATTGTTTGATACCAAATACATGATCACTTTAAAAATTAAATCCCAACTATTTGCATAAAATAATTATGTGAATCCATTTGTTGTGTAAAGAGCTCACATCCCAATCATTTTTATAACAGTGAAAGAAATTAAAAATAAAGCAACTTATTTTCATATGTTGTTTGAACTAGCTCTTTATTTTGTTCAGAAATATTAAAACGATTCTTTCCCCAAAAACAAATCTTGCAAAGATAATAAATTATAAAAATAATATCCAATTTTTCCTAATGATGAGAGGGACCTTGAAAATAAAGAAGAACCTCATGATTCAAAATGCATGAGAAAAGCCTAAGTGATACAAAAC